ACAAAAACCTAAAGACCCCAGCAAAAACCTTTAGAATAAATGAATTCAGTAAAGTTGCAAGATACAAATCAATATACAGAAATCTGTTAAATTTCTAAATACTAGTAACAAAATAGCAGAATGAGAAATTAAGAAAATCTCATTAAAAATACATAGGACTAAATTTAGGGAAGGAGCTGAAAGACTTGTATTCTGAAAAGTATGACATTAATGAAAGAAACTGAAGTTGACACACATAAATGGGAAGATATATATCCATGCTCATGGATTGAAGAATTAATTTTGTTAAAGCATCCATATTATGCAAAGTAATCTTCAGATTCAGGGCAATCCCTATAAAAAATTAACAGCATTATTCACAGAACTAGAATGAAAAATTCTAAAATTTGTATGGAACCACAGAAATCCCGGACTATTTGAGAAATAAGAACAAAAGTTGGAGGTATAACAATCTCGGGATTCAAACTACATTACGAAGCTACAGTAATCAAAACAGCATAGTACTGTCACAAAAACACATAGATCAATGAAACAGAATTAAGAACCCAGAAATAAACCCATGTTTATATGGTCAATCTATGACGAAGGAGACAAGAATATACAATGTGGAAAAGGCACTCTCTTCAATAAATGGTGTTGGAAAAACAGAACCAGCTATATGTGAAAGACTAAAACCAGACAGTTCACTGCATACACAAAAATAAACTCAGAATGGATTAAAGACCTACATATAATACTTGAAACCATAAAACTCCTATAAGAAAATATATACAGTAAACTCAGGGACATCAGCCTCAGCAATATTTTTGGATATGTCTCCCAAGGAAGGAAAAAAAAAAGCAAAAATAAACAACTGGGACTATATCAAACTAAGAAGCTTTTGCACAGTGAAGGAAATTTTTTTAAAAAGGCAGCTTACTGAATGGGAGAAGATAATAGCAAATAATATTCAATAAGAGATTAATATCCAAAATATATAAAGAACTCATACAGAACAAAATAGTTGTTGCCAGAGGGGAGAGTGGTGGTGGTGGGGAAAGATGAAATAGGTGAAGGAGAATAAGAGATACAAACCTCCAGTTATAAAAGAAGTATATCCTTTAGATGAAAAGTATAGCACAGGGAATATAGTCAATAATACTGTAATAACTTTGTATGGTCAGAGATGTTAACTACACTTATCATGGCAAGCATTTTGAAATTTACATAATTGTCAAATCATTGTGCTAATGTTAAATAGTTTTCAATTTAAAAATGAATCTACATGTGTGACCAGCACCCAGACCAAGAATAGAACATTACCAACATTAAACAAGCCCCTCTCATGCTTTCTCTATCACTTCCTAAACTCCTAAACTCCTAAGAGTAACCCTATCCTAACTTATACTTTATAAGAATGGACTCCTATAGTATATATCATTTTGCATGTCTTTTTAAACTCACATTGTTAGATTCAATTGTTTTGCTTGAAACAATAGTTTCCTTGTTATATCATATTCTGTTGTATGACTATATCATATTGAGTAATTTGCAGTTTATGTTTGCCAGCATATGGTGTCAGGAATGTTCCTGTACATATCTTTTGATGAACATATGTACTAGACACATAGGAGTAGCACTGCTGGGTCATAAAATATTCTATTCCTACTTCAGTGGGGACTGTCAAAAAAATTTCCAAAGTGGCTACAACCATTTACACTCTCCAGTATTGTATGAGAGTTCCATGTTTGCTACACTTGATACTGTCTATGTGGGTTTTTTTTTTTAAGCCACTCTGTTGTATGCATGTCAAGTTCTCTTTTATTTATTTTTATTTTTATTTTTTTCAAATTCTATTTTAAAGCTGGAATTGGAGGTGCACCTGGGTGGCTCAGTCAGTTAAGTGTCCAACTCTTGGTTTCTACTCATGATCTCACGGTTGTGGGATTGAGTCCCACATAGAGCTCCTGCTCGGTAGAGAGTCTGCTTGGGATTCTCTCTCTCCCTCTACCCTGCCCCGCTGTGCTTGCTCTCTCTCTCTCTCTCTTTCAAAAAAACAAATAAACAAACAAATAAATAAGTAAAATATTTAAATAAAGCTGGTATTAGAAAACTAAAAACCTTTAAAAACTGGTTTATATCATATCAGTTTAAGTTTTTGGAGATATCAGATAAATGATAAAGTCCACAGTTATATCTGAACTGCAGTAATAATAAACACTGGTGCTAAATAAAGGAATTCTCAATTTTCACTATCCACCACTGAGATATCAGAGAGAACTTTCATTTCAACTTTCACAATTTACTGGGGTTAGGCTGTGAATTAATATCCTTTTAGTTTATTTCTTCTGTGCATCCATAAATTCAGGTTATTTCATTGTATTATTTGATTTTAAACCTAAAGTCTAAAAAAAAAAAGAAATTGATCTTGAAATGGAGCTGGAGGATCTCTATATGGTTTGGTGGACTGATTTAGTGAGTTGACCCCCTAAAACAGTAGTCACCAAACTTTGTGTATAAAGAGACGGGTTGTAAATATTTCATCCTATCCTGTCTGTTGCAATTACTCAACTCTGCCCTTGAAAGCAGCCATAAACAATATACCAATGGGTGGATGTGCCTGTGTACACTCTTATGTGCTCAGTATATATGTTCACTAAAACATACATAAGAATGTCCATAATAGGGGAGCCTGGGTGGCTTACTCTGTTAAGCAATTGCCTTTGGCTCAGGTCATAATTCTGGAGTCCTTGGATTGAGCCCTCTTCTCCTTCCCTCTCTGCTCTTCCGCCTGCTTGTGCGCTCGCTCTCACTTGCTCTATCTCTCTCTCTCTCTCTCTCTCAGAATAAATAAATAAAATCTTTTAAAAAAGAAAGTCCGTAATAGTACCACATGCTGGAAAATATAAACTTGAAACTACCCAAATGTTCCTCAACAGTCCAATGTGATACATTCATAGGAGACTATTATACAGTGATAAAAATAAAGTGCTGTTAAAACTTTATTTATAAAAAGTAACAGTGGTAATGGACATGAGATTTCCTTTTGGGGTGATGAAAAAGTTAAGGAACTAGAGTGGTGATGGCTGCACATTATGTATGTACTCAGTGCCACTGAATTGCACACTTTAAAATGGTTAAAGTGGCAATTTTTATGTTATGCTCATTTTACTGCAGTAAGATAAACAGGTAATGGATCATATCTGGCCCATGCATGGGCCACAGTTAGCCAATCCCTGCTCTCAAATCTAATATCGCATAGGGTTGTATAAGGAGTAAATGAGTTACATTAAAGCATATAAAATGGTTCCTGGAATATGGAACAGTGCAATAAATGTTAGGTATTATCATTACTTTTGTAAAATAACATCTTCAAGTATGGAAAGAGAACTCTTGGATTTTGGGCTTTGGTGTGGACCAGTTGGTTAGCTGCTCTCAGAGCCAACCTGTGGGTGCTGGTACAAACCTATCCCTACCACTAAAACAACTTTTTCTACCCCTATGTAAGGAACAAAACCAAAGTGCATAGGACCATATGACTACTTGTGGTATTTTAAGGTTTGTCAACAGTAACCCAAAAGCATATAAAATGCTAAGAAAATATAAACGTGGGCAGCCCTGGTGGCTCAGTGGTTTAGTGCCGCCTCAGCCCAGGGCCTGATCCTGGAGTCCCTGGATCAAGTCCCATGTCAGGCTCCCTGCATAGAGCCTGCTTCTCCCTCTGCCTGTGTCTCTGCACCTCTCTGTGTCTCTCATGAATAAATAAAATCTTAAAAAAAAGAAAATATAAACATTATTATAACTTTTATTTTTACAGTCATTTAAACTTTAATCAGGCCAGTTTTAAAATCCAAATTATGAAAAAATATTTTAAAGTAAAAACTAATAATATAATTAATTAAAATGAATAATTATTTTTACTATTAACCCTAATTTGCTAATGGGGAAACAAAGTTCACTGGATATTTTTGTCAAGATTTGGTTTACATTTTGGTTTACTACTGTACTGATAATATAAGTGATTTACAAACAATGAAGACCCAAAGTGCATATTAATTCTACTCAGAAACATGGTTCCTCATCTTGAGTTGTGCTTTGGAGCCATAACTGATGGTAAGAAGTGCTAAAATCCTCAAATCCAGTGTTTTGCAATTATGATCAATGATGCTATAAAACTTGAGCATTTCTCTTGGTACACATGTGCAAGATTTCCTCTAGGGTATATACAAAGGAATAGAGTTGCTGGGTCTTAGGGAATATGTATCTTCAATTTACTAGATCACACCAAACTATCCAACATGACTGTACCAGTTTTACATGCCCACTAACAGTACACAAGTTCCTGTGTTGACAATCTCATCAGGATACTGATCAATATTTCATTGTCAACATGTAAAAAGATGTTTCACTGTGATTTTATTTGTACATTTTTAAAACTAAGGTATAATTTATATACAGGAAAATTAACTTTTTAGAGTACAGTTCATATTTTTCATCTTTCCTCTGGATTGAATTCAGAATTATTTCTTCACATCTTTTTCTTCCAGTTCACTAACATCTTCAGCAGTATCTAATCTATTAGTTCTGTTTTTTATTTTAGCAATTTTCTCTTTTGTAGTTTTTCTTTTCCAAATCTGGCTATTTAAATTTTGTCAAATTCATTTTATTCATTAAAATTAACTAAAATTTAAAATTCTGTTCCTCAATAACGAGTCAGATCTTAAGGGCTCTAGTGCCACATGCGGCCAGAAGCCATTATATTATAACTCCAGGTGTTCTATGGGACAGCTTTACTCCAGAGATCTTTTTCCTTCTGCCAGGTACCAATAGGCCTCATGAGCCTCAGAAACCACTTTAAACTAACTTCCTAAATGGGTTTTTTTCTACATGAGGGTGGTATGAATTGGGCTGCAAAAGTGATTGAAGGCTTAGATTATGAATTCTTGGGGAAAAATTTTTTTCACTGTCTTGCTCTGAATCCGAAGATACCCATGGCTTATAGACTCTGCTCCTTTGCTCAGATGATGAGAGCACGGCTGCCATCTCCAGACCAGCTTCAGGAAGCCCCCGTGTGCTGAATGAGCCACAACCTCTGGTCTTCCCTCCAGTGCCACAGTCGAAGGTGCCGCCCATCACCTCAAACCCAGTAAGCCCCGTGCAGGGAAGTCCTGGAGAACCCAGGGTTGTTCTTGCCAGAAGCAGCTTGCTCAGTTATTTGCTTTAATTTTATTATGTAGGATTCAGGGTTTTTTTTTTTTTTCAGTAGAGTTACGTGTTTATCACAATAATCCAGTGACTCTGCACTGATGTTTAATTTCAGTTTAAAAATTAATAGCAAGGCGCCTGGGTGGCTCAGTCGGTTGAGCATCTGACTCTTGATTTCAGTTCAGTCATGATCTCAGGGTGGTGTGATCAAGAGCCATGGCAGGCTCCGCACTGGGTGTGGAGCCTGCTTAACATTCTCTCACCCTTCTCCCCTCCTCCAGCTCTTGCTTGCACACACGCGCTCTCTCTCAAGGAAATTTTTAAAAAAATTAATAGCAAATTAGGGTTGATCATTTTCAGTCAGCTCTTTTTAAAAGTCATCCATATGTCATGTAATGTAGAAATAGCTATGTGGTAGCCTAATTCTGTTTGGGGAAGAATAAAGGATATGACTGAAAGGGGAACAATCCTCAGATCTTCTGAGGCCTTAACATCCTATGATTTTGTCCATTTGGTTCCTTTTTCTTTTATCTCAGCCTACCTGGTTTTTATTTTTGATATTTCAATCTGTTGACTTTTTTGCTTTTGGGGGGGTTTTGTACTCATTATAACTGAGGCATAAAAGGCAAACCAAAGGAAGGAAGAAGTCCCAGTTAAGTCCGTGGACAAGCATAAACATAGCCATTTCTTGCAGAAGGCTGATGAGCCTGATTTCATGACTGTGTAATGACTTATCTAGGCTGTTTCCTAATAGTTTCCCAGTGTTACTTGTGGCAAAAAAGAGAGAGAGAGAGAGAGAATGAGGGAGAGTCCTAACCCTTGAGACATGCTCATCAACACTGGGCTTTACTACCAGATCTAGTATTTGCTTTGTATCCTGGCCTGATATTGTGCTGCTGGATTTACAAAGGGTTTATTTAAAAATAAAACCAGCAAGGCCCATCTATATCTTATTACACTGGAGGATTAGTTGGTGAACTAATGCTCCTTCGGTGGTAATAAAATACTTCTAACATGAAGTGATCTATGGGTTAGGTAGCCTAAGTAATGAATAACCTAAATGTTTCTGGCTATTAATAACCAAAGGAAGGAAAAGGATTAATTCAAATATTTCTGAGAGAAAATAGGAGGAAAATGCGTGGTATGGCAGAGGAGGAGATGGCCAGAAAGGGCACTGAACTGATGATCTGACAGAAAATCAATAGCACCCCAAGGTGGCAATGTCAGTCCAAGGAAGATTAAGTCCTTCTAACACTAGGATAAGATGAACTCTTGCTAATAAGAGGCTTCAGAATTGAGGTCATGACTGCTCATGAAAGAAAAGCATTAGTGTAGAGCATAAATAAGATTGTTTGATGAAAGAGATTATGTCTGAGTTTACTCTAGTTTTTTTTTCCTATATTTGTTCCATATTTTGTAGGGTTTTTTTTCCCCCTAATGTAATGTAAATAATGATAGGAATGAAGTTCTCTCTCCCCTATCAGAGTGGCTGTTAACTGCTTTCATCTCAGTTGATCAGGCTTCCCCTACCTGCAGTCACTTAGAAATGAAGAGAAAAGGACTTGGACTGGTCATCTTGACAGTGGACTTGGGGCTTCAGCTGCGGGGGGAATAGAAGAATGTACAGATGATCTAATTTGAAAATTTGGCAAAGTTGGGAAACCCAGGAAATGTCTTCACCAACCAAGTAACATTTTCTTTTGACATATAGATGAATCTCTGTCAAGCGGCAAGTGGTCATCAGCCAAATGTGAATGGTCTCTTGGTTCATGGGATGCCTCTACAGCCAAGAAATCTCTCCCTAATGGACAAGCTACTGTAAGAAATGTAAAATTTTTAAGACTTTAGAATTTATGTAGATCACTGAGAAATAGAAGGAAAGATAAATCAGTCAAATCATCATACATATATTGAGTACATACCAAGCAATCAAAGAGACATCTGGGGAGTAAAAACATTAAAGGGAAATGGTTTCTGATAATGTAACTGGAAAGAGAAGACAGACATGGGTAAAAAGAGACTCAACCAAATAGTGCATTTTTGTGACTGAATGTCAAGTGTGTGGTACCCAGAGTGAATGCATGGCAGTCCCAAAGAAGTGAGGCATTTTGGTGGGTAACTATAGTATGAACTTTTCCTTCAAAATGGGAGTTTGGATAAGCAGAGAAGAGCAACATGACTATTCTAGATAGAAGGAATGGTGTGGGAAAAGATTTGGAGGCAAAAAATACAGACTCTTTAGAAGGGAAAGCAGACCAGTTTTGCTACAGTAAGAAAAGAGGTCAGAATTTTAATGCTTCTGACCAAAGATCATGGGCCATCTTCCAGAATTAAAATAGATCATGGTGTGAGTAGTGGAAAGAAGACAGAAATTAATGAAGGTTGGGACCAGACTGGACAGTTTTGAATGCCATGTTTTTGAGATCCATTCATGCATGTTGTGGCATGTGACCTTCTCTTTTATTAATAAATAATATTCTATTGTAAAAACATACTACGATTTATCTATTCTCCTGTTAATGAACATTTGGAGTGTTTCCAGATTGTGGCTCTAATGCATAAAGGCACCATAAATATATTCTTGCATGGTCTTCATTTTTCTTGGGTAAGTGTATGTTTAACTTTGTAAGAAACTTCCATACAGTTTTCTTAAGTAATTATGCCATTTGACACTTCCCAATTTCACTTGGGCAGCACATGTATTTAAGTCAGGAATCTGAAAGAGATTTTATAGCAGAAGAACACAGACTGGATTGAAGAAGGAGGAACTGAAGGTAAAGAGTCTAATATAGGAGTTCAAGCATGAGCTACTAAAAGCCTATACTCAAGTTGTAGCAAAGAATAAGAAAGGAATGGAATATTTTAGAAGACATTCACACCAGAAGACAGATTCTATAAAAATAGAGGAACCAGAATCAGCTCTGAGATTTCAAAGCTCAAGGGAAGTTTGTTGTAGGGTAAAGATACATTTGGTTTGGGGTGTGTTGAGTTTACAGTGCCAAGCCATCTCACTGGAAACATGGAAGACATCAGATTTGGAGATTGATCTAGAAGTCACCTGGCTAAAGGTGATAACTGAATCCAGGATTATGACTGAGTAGTCCCGAAGACAAAATAAAGATAAGCATGGAGCAGCTAAGTCCTAAAGCTACTGTAATAGAAAGCAGTTAGGGTGTGCAAAGAAAAGGCTAGTAAGTGAATGGTTAGGGTGGTAGAAGGCCAGCACGACCTCTGTGACTGACACTCAAGGTTTAGTTCCATTTCTTGGTAGGTATTCTCCCTTCAAGGTCCTCCAAATGCTGAGGTATATTTTGCACTAGAGGACCAAAGCAGTCACCAAGTTTGAGGAACTTGCTAAAAGCCAAAAGAGCATGTAGCAGAGCTTAATTCTTTCACTTTCCCTCCATTTCCTTGTCCAAATACTGTCTCTCAGGGGTCTTACAACAGAAATATCTCCTCTGCTTAAAAAACAAAAATAAAAACCTGAGTCTGTAGGGCAGAGTTTAAGCTACTTAATTGTTTGGGCATGGTATTCTATTTACCAGAGTACTTACAGAAAAGTTGTATTTCAGTTGCTTATGCAAACTGATCTACCGTAGTCCTAGTGCCCTGGGCAGCATGAGGCTCTGGATCCTTTGTCTACAAGTTTCCAGCTTTCCAAGGAACCCAATCCCCATGCCTGCAGGCTCCAATGAGCTCAGTATTTTCCTCTTCTAGTAGGAACCTCGCTAGTGCCACACTTCCTAAGCAGCAGTTATTTGCCTTTCAACTAAGCATTTCCTTCAACACAAAGAATGCCTCAAATACGGTAGGGATCTCAGTCCCTAGGATGAACTTCTGGGAAGCATTCTAGAGTAGGTACTCTTCAGGTTAGCCTCACTGTCACTGAAGAAGCGACTGTCATGCCTGGTGAATAATGGATGAGCTTTCCCACCAAATCTCCATTCTAGTAAATTACCTGTACAATTAAAATGAGGTATTTCTTTTAAGAACATGTTCTCATGCCTAAACTAGATTACGTGACTTGTGTAAACTAGGTTATTTACTTTTGCTTTATTCTCCGTTGAATATATTTTATAGTTTAAGCCTTTGAGTCCTGTTTCCCTATACAAAGCAATGTCCATTTCATTGTTGGTTTCTGATTTGGCCACTAGAGATCTTGATGACAAGTTACTTATGAGACCTGGATCCAGTACCATCCTTTCATCTCGAAATTGGCCAAATCGAGCCCTAGAGCTCAGTACATCGGCTCTGTCATACACAGCACAATCTGCCAGGAGACGCAATCCTCCACCACGTACCCTTCATCCCATCAGCACAAGCCATTCATGCGCTGGAACGCCAAGACCTATGGAAGAAATCCTCAGAGGACCCCGAATGTAGGTTTGAAAAGCAGAATTTTTGGAAACTGTCATAAAACTAACGAAGAACTTTATAGAGAGGATGAATTTAAGTGTAAGACTAAAACATTTGCCTAAAAACTAATCATTGCATATTCTCATGATGGACTGTACACTGGTTTAAATCCAAAAAAGAAATGTGATTAAATTTGAATACAATTCAGATACTGGATCTTCCTGTTAAAGATTTTTACTTATACAAATAAAATGTTGGCTAGAATACTTCAGTGACACTGATCGAAGGAAGTAAGATATATGTATCTTATTAAACATTTTCCTTAGCGAGTACATGCTCAGTGAAATTCATCCCAAAATAAGTTATCTCCCCTTTAATATTTTTCTGACCACTGGGATTTGCTCACTCTATTGACAATAACATTTTAATCTCAAATAAGTACTTGTCTATATACTGGGGAAAATATCCCTTAGCACTTCTTAGGAAATGACACTAACCATATTTTCTTCCCTTTTGCCACCTTTAATTCACTGAGCCTTGTAAAAAATACTTAGAAGCCTACTTTTAAATAAAATTCTTTCATTAGTTGCTGATTCACAAAACAGCTTAGGATGTATGATTCTAAGACTATGACCAAGTGTACAAGATCATGAATTCAGCTTTTAAATCAAGCACATGTGATTTCTTGACTTTGATTTTTCAGTTTGTTTTAATTTATCCCAAAAGATTCACTAAAAGAAATGTCCATTAACAACCAAAAGTCTTTGTCAGGACACTGGAGGTTTTTCTTACCTACTATTTTATGTTGATGTTGGTATTAATATATAGATTCACTTACTTGAAGAGAGCTCTCTTGTGGTATAATTAATCTCTCATACCTTCTGACAGTTTCTTCAAAGCGGAAACAAGTTACCTTCTTTTTTTTTTTTTTTTTTTTTTTAATTTACGATAGTCATACAGAGAGAGCGAGAGAGGCAGAGACACAGGCAGAGGGAGAAGCAGGCTCCATGCACCGGAAGCCCGATGTGGGATTCGATCCCGGGTCTCCAGGATCGCGCCCTGGGCCAAAGGCAGGCGCCAAACCGCTGCGCCACCCAGGGATCCCAGTTACCTTCTTTCTTTTGGGACATGAAAGTATCATTGATTTTTAGGTACTGTCTTGAGTAGGAGTAATGCTACAAACCACTAGAAATACCATAAAAGGAACATTTAGGAACTTTGCCTGGGAATCCTAATTACAATAGTCCTCCTATCCAAGGGTATAGGTTTCAAAACCCCCAGTGGATATCTGAAACTGTGGATAGTACCAAACCTTACATGTTTTTTCTTCTGCATACCTATGATAAAGTTTAACTTCCAAATTATGTACAGGAGATTAACAGTAATAATAAAATGGAACAAGTATAATATACTGGAGTAAAATTTATGTGAATGTGGTCTGTCATAGTATCTTACTGTACCACACTTATTCCTCCTCTTCTTGTGATGATGTGAGATGATAAAATGTCTACGTGATGAGATGAAGTGAGGTTAATGATGGAGGGACTGTGATGCAGCATTAGGCTACTCGTGACCTTCCAACAATACGTCAGAATGAGGATCATCTACTTCTGGACCTCAGTGACCACGGGTAACTGAAATCATGGAAAGCAAAACAGTAGATAAGGAAGGACTACTGTTATTACTGAAAAGAACCAAAAGTCCCAGAACTGTGGAGAATTCCACCAGATGTGAAATTACAAATCCTTGATAGGTTAACACCCAGTGTTAACACCAGACAGGGAAAACTGCTTTTGTCCAGCATTCTGTGAGACAAAGGGTCAACTTCTGCTGTGTGCCCAAAATAAAAGTTTCAACAAAAATCAGAAAATACTATGAAAAAATCCCCCAAACTCTAATTTTCCAAAATCCTGCGACTGCTTAAGAACATAGGCAACTTAAAGCATTCTGTGCAGGACATTAAACTCATCTCCCTCATTTATTTGATTCTAAATCAGCTTGCTTGCATTGTTGTAACTTTGTGTTTTTCATATCTTGGTGTTTGCTGGTGGGATCTGCAGCCCAGCCCAGGACTCGCTCTCCTCTCCCTCACCAATGCCCCTGAGTCGAAACAATCTGCTGCCCCCTATTGGGACAGCTGAAGTGGAACACTTGAGCTCTGTGGGGCCACAAAGACAAACGGTACGTCTTTCTCCTCCTGCTTTTCCATGTGTTGATAAAACCTCATAGGCAGTACTTCTGCAGGGTTCATTGTTCTGGAATTGATTTATAATACCTTTTGTCAGAAGTACAAACTGAATCCTAACTCTGACAATGGAACTGGAGCTGCTTGGCCTGCAGTTACCATACCTACTTGGGTTGATGGAGGACATGCATAGCTTTTGCTACAAGTTGTTTTAACAGTTTCTATAATTTTTGTCTCTCCTGTAGAAAACCCATGGTGACTCCAATCGAGCTCGAAGTGCTGTGGTGGATGAGCCTAACTATCAGCAGCCCCAGGAGAGGCTCCTATTACCTGACTTTTTCTCCAGGCCCAACACAACTCAGTCATTTTTGGTAGGGACATACTTCCTCTATTGTCTTGACAGCTGGGGAAAGAAAAAAACTAGTTTGGCAGACTTTAGGTTTCACATAGCGCCTTAACCAACCAAGAATAAAAGCAGAGACTCTTAACAATAAAAATAGTGTTGTAAGTACATTTTATTGAAATTCTGACTGGTCTCTGCCATTGAAAATAAGAAAAGTAATAAGGTAAAATGAAAATGGTAAAATGCCTTATACATAAGTCACAAATTCTAAACAATTTAAATTGTTAAATGTTAATATTCCTGAGAATAAGCAAAAGAAGAAGAAGAAGAAGAAGAAGAAGAAGAAGAAGAAGAAGAAGAAGAAGAAGAAGAAGAAGAAGAAGAAGAAATTCAACTCCAGTACATCAAATCAGCATAACTCCTTCTCTAACACTGCTCTTATGGAGTTACACCAAAAGTGGTATCAAATTATGTGGACTGATGGATGCCAAGTCAGGACTTTCATCTTTTTTTAAATTGGTGTTTGAGATGAGATGCTCAAATCGCCTTACCATTTTAATGTCCATTTACTGGCCCTTTTACTTTTAAGCAAGTAATAGAAAAAAGCTTATTGGGAGATTGGAGGTCATGCACTGACCGTACTCAACCCCACTTCATCTGCTTTGTGGCAAGGCGGCTTGAAGAGCTTGGGGATCTGGAACCACTCAGTGCCCAGAAGCCAGGGACCTCCAATCCTATACCACTTTCCAGGATGGTGGTATCTGAAGCCCACTTATTCCAACTTCTAACTGGTGAATTCTATCAGCCTAAAGCACCATACAGTCCACCACTGAGAGTGGTGAGAACAAATTAATGAGACAGCATGTTAAGTTCCTAGGCCTACCATAACAAACTACCACAGACTGGGTGGCTTCAAACAACAGAAATTTATTGTCATTTCCAGGGCCTAGAAGTCCAAACAAGGTGTCAGCAGAACCATGTTCCCTCTGCAGGTTCTAGGGAGGAGGTTTTCTTATCTCTTCTTGGCTTCTGGTGGTTGCCAGCAATCCTTGGTACTCCTTGGCCCGCAGCTACATCACTCCAATTTCCGCCTCTGCCTTCACATAGCCGTCTTCCCTGTATGTTTGTGTCCAAATTTCCCTCTTATAAAGATACCAATCACTGAATTTATGGCTAACTCTAATCTGACTTCATTTTACCTTGATTACATCTGCAAAGATCCTATTTCCAAATAAAGTAAAATGCACAGGTTCCAGATAGGCATAAATTTTGGTGGGGATAGGGGATTGGGGGTCAGGGGCACTATTCAACAGACCTCAAGATGCTTTATTTAGGGGAAGATTCACCAAAACAGGAGCTAAAGGAAAATGTGAGCATTTCTGAATCTTAATGTGAACCCTAGAAAGCTTGAAAACCTCTATTAATCCATCTTCTCGTAATTTAATTCAGAGCATTTGTTGAGCAGTGTTTGATTATATTCTACAGCTAGATTCTCTATAAAACATTTAATTTTTGGTTGCCTTAGGAATTAAACTAACACATTAAGACAGTTTCTTTTTTCTGATGTTTATAACAATGCAAGAATTTCTTTCCTTAGCTATTTCTCTCCTAATGTGCTGACATGCAAAGGGAGAGGAGTTGACAGCTCAGGGTACTCAGAGCACTAGATTGGAGCTCTTGGCGGGGCACTTCCAGACTAGCACTCAGCTCCCCCTGGTGTTCTCCTCTAGAAGAGGGGTCAGCAAACCGTTGGTATGAGACATCTGGCTTACCACAAAAATTCCTGTTTCTGTAGAGCTACCATACTCATTTGCTTACATATCATGACTGCTTTCCCATCACAACAGCAGAGTTGAATAGCTGCAACAGTATGTACCACAAAGCCTAAAATATCTACTTTTTGGCCCTCTATAAAGAAGTTTGGTGACCCCAATAAAAAAAAGGGGGGGGCTTCACCATAAAAAAAAATTCTTGAAATCTCTTGATTGCATTGCTCTGACAGAGAACGGAGAGGGGTAATTTTTATTCCAGAAGCACCAGCAGGACGGCATTCACAACTTTTTTTGATATTTGCATTTCATTATTTCAGCTGTTCTGAAAATCTTTAAATTCCTAGAAATAATTCTGAAATGTTTGGGTTTCATATTGAGTCTCATTTCAAGTATGGAGGTGAAGTGATGGGTATCTGTGTTGCTGAAAAGGCTCCATTCTGTTGTTTTAAACAGCAGATTGTTGAAATTAGATAAAATTTCCTTGGCAGCCAATTATAAATGCTTAGAAATATTAAACCATGTGGATTATTTTTAAGTGCTAAAATTTTTAAAAGATGTTATGCATTTATCATGAGAGACAGAGAGAGAGGCAGAGACATAGGCAGACAGAAGCAGGCTCCATGCAGGAAGCCTGATGTGGGACTCGATCCCAGGACTCCAGGATTACGCCCTGAGCCAAAGGCAGATGCTCAACCGCTGAGCCACCCAGGCGTCCCTGGCTTGCGATTTTTTTTACTTGATGTACAAGAGTGTACTCAGCCAACTTGTCCCTCAGATTGGCAGACAATGCCATTTACAATACTGTCTGATTTCAAGGTTTTCCCTTGTAAACATACTACTAATATATTATCCTTTGGGAAATGTCACATTGTAAGAAGTGTGTCATCTTTTCTTTGTTTCTGCAGCCAGATACACAGTACCATCATTCTTGTGCCGTTGAGTATCCTCATCAGGCCCGACCTGGTAGGGGATCTGCAGTGACAGGTAGGACCATGGCTCTTATTTTATGTGACTATGTTAAGATGCTGCCTTTGTTCTAGGTTTATTTTCCCTCCCTCCGGATTTTATTATATTGTTCCCCTACATCATTGTAACTCACCTCAAATTCCTTTTGGAAATGGGATAGTAATAAAGATAGAGGAGACCTCTATTGCTCACAGCCATGTTCCAGATTTGTTTTTCCATATGTAAATTAACTTCTTACCACTCTGGCAAACTACTTTTTTTTTTTTTTTCCAATCTAATAAGTTTAAGCTAAGTAAGTCATTTTGGTAACATTCAAACACTGCACGGATTTTATTATGCAGGCAAAATCTATATTGCCATAGAATAAACTACTTTGGTCAGTTAACCTGCTAGGCCAAGGTAAGAAAAGAAATTTAAAAATGTTAAGACATGCTGAGTCTGAGTCCATCCCATTAACTGTTCTGATTTTTAAGTCATATTCTAATAGATTGTATTTTCAGAGGAGGGTAGAAAGTTTAAGAGTATCTTAATTCTCCCTATAAAGATAAATTCATCACCATCACGGTCATTCTCATGATGTTGTCGGTGAAGTTCGGAAGTATTAAGCAGTTTAAATATTTCCTGTTAATAAGATTAATCAAGTATGTTAAAATTAATCTGCCTCAAACCATCTCTGTCATCCAAATGAATTCTCTTGTTCATTTCCTATTGCATTGCTTGGTAGTCTCTGAATGCTTTCAACAGACTCTTCCCTGGATTAGTCCTCATAGAGAAGCAATGCTGCCTCTGAGCTAGTTACTACATTCAGCCTTACTGATGGTCAGTCGTAATATTTAGATAAGTCAGACATAGTCTTTTTTTTTTTTTAATCAGTGGGCTCTTCTCTAAAACTAGGTTTCATATCTTAATAGATGTTTTGAATTTACATGATAGAATGCAAATGTAGTTTTTATTGTCTTGGTGAAAATACGTTACTACTTAGTCCCAGTCTCCAAATTTAAGTCTGACTGATAATTGGAACAAAAAGAGCCCTTAGATAGAACTTGAGATGGTCAAATCTAGAATGTCTACTAACATTACTCTATGATGTCATCTTTGTCTGACAGGTCCTCAGTTACATGGATCTACAAAATCTCAAAACAGAGGTAGACCAGTCTCTAGAACCAGGCAGGGACCACAGGGCAAATGAGAAGAACCTGCTTCAGGCTGCAGGAAACACGTGAGAAAAATTCACGAATCAACGTTCAGTCATCTTGTGATGCAAAGCTTGTATATAAGAGACAACTTAAAACCATCTTCATGATGCGTTAATCTGGTATAACTGAGAAAAAAAGTATCTGCCAAAGATTACATAGGTACTGTTTCTCTCTCCAGTTACTGTCTTCTTTCAGCATTAAGTTAACCTATTCTATTAGACAGTAAAATCTGTACCCAAAGATGTAATGAATGAATAATTATCCCCAAATCACTGCTCATGTTGTCTGTTAACAATGATCAGGTTAAAAAAAAAAACAAAAAACAAAAAACAATGATCAGGTTCAATTATTACAGGATTCTATGAGGCTATACATACACAAAAAGCAGCAAATGATTGTTTGATATTATCAATGGCTCCAGAATACTTCTGCTTGTATGAATTTCTGGAGAGTTGTACTCATTTTTAAGGCATTTTTAGGAGACAGAGCTGTCAAAAATCTGAGTTACTTATCAAACAGAAGTCATTCCTAAAGCTTTCTCTTTAGATGTCCAATCTTACAAAGAGATTTGGAGGAGCTAAGTAACTAAAGATACAAATGTGGAATACTGGTATAAAGTAATATGTAATAAGTCATAATGTATATTTATTTTCGGATAGGACAGCTCAACCTCACAATGCCTGCTTCCTATCAGATTATGCTTTTCTTCTTACAGGACTTTAGAAATCATATATATATATATTTAACTCACCTTACCAAATTTTCTCCTTGAACTCTAAGTAAACTTAAAAATTTATAGGATTGATTAGTGAGCCAGCAATACCTTAAAATTTCAGAAACTCTGGTAATTAGTATAAACATATCTTCAGAGCAGAAATACAGAACCTTCAGCATTCTTCTGATTTCACCATGGACCTTTTTGGGAGGACACTCATAAATGCAGCAGTGGTTTTAATTATAGCTTAAATTTATTCTATTTAAATTTCATTCAACTTTAATTTTGATGATCATATCAGTTTTAGATCGTACTGTAAATCTTCAGAGTGGATAAACGGGTAATTTTTTAATTATATCAAGATGTATCATATGAAGACAGATGCTTCAAACAACGTGCATTAAATTATATTTTAATACAATTAAAAAGTATTTTTTAATCTGTAATCACAGACTGTGTCATGTGCTTACCTCAGATAAATTATCATACATAAAACTCAGTAACACAAGGGTTGTTTTATGCATATGGTATTGAATATATAAGTCTGTAATTCAGAGATTTTAAGTTGATCAGTTGCCAAAAAAATTTCCATATATTCCAATGAGTACACACCAATTCAACTAAATGTAAGTAAACATCCCTGCATTATTCTCACAAATCAATACCATAAGTGCATGATAACAAACTGATGGATCAAGATGGCTGCCTTTCAAAGTTAAAGGAGTCAGAAGAAGCCTCTAAGAAGTCATTTAGCCCAACTTCCCACACCTTTTTATAGAGGAGGAAGCAAGTTCAAACAAGATCTGCACCTAAGGACAGACATTCAATAGTTACAGGCAGGACAACTTCTCTGTATGTTATGTAAATCTGGCTACCTATCATAAAGCTGACTCAGTTTACTTTCTTCTCTCTTCTCTGAACAGCATCCATAGTTTTTCTAAATCATAGTTTAAATGATCACTGAGATCATTTAAAAGACCTCAGAACTTAAGAGTCATTTTTAACTTGTTTATTTCATCATGTATAAGTCTTACAAAGACACATGAAGTAATCTTAACATCTGTTTCTCCTATACTTCAAGTGAAGAGTATAAAACCTGGCTTCATAAAACAAAAAGGAGAGGATCTATTCAAGGATATTAACCCTGAAAGCAAAATGGCAAACATCTGATAGACATATCTAGCAAGTGTTTTGAAAGCGTTCTAGCTAGAGTTACTGTTCTAATTAACACACACACACTACTCAATGCTCTGCAGCTGTATGCACACTCCTGCAAAATGACAACTGCTAAAGGCAGTACGGGACAAACCCACATTCTAGACAAGAGTTCCTTGTACAGAAGATCCAACAGAGACAAGTGCTGCCAGGAAGTACACTACTCTCCCCCACTCCCTCAAAAATCACCACCAAATTCCTTCATACAGGACCTCAAAAAGTATCAGGATTTCTAGGATTACCAAAATCAGGCTGAGATTCTGCTTTGTCTACAGAGTTGACCTCAATAATTTAGGCTGGAAAGACAACTTTTCTCAAGGGCAGGGCTGACTTTTGTCTTCAAATCTTGACTGTACCTTGCCTACAATGGCACCAATGAATACCTAAGGGCTTTTGATGAGAAAATTCCATTATTTCTTTTCTTTCTTGAGAGGCGTTTTTTTCCCTCCTCGTTTGGGTTTGCAGTACTTTGCTTCCATCTGAGCCAGAAAACTGTCCATTTCCTTTTGCCGATCCTTTTGTCTGCTCTGTTTAAGAAGTTAAAACACAAGCTTTCAAAACACAAGGCCATCCAGGGACAAAAATACTCTGTGGTTGCCAGAGGCTAGTGGAAGGGAGAATAGGCAATGACAGCTAATGAGCAAAGGGTTTCTTTTTAAGGTGATGAAAATGTTCTGGAATTAGTGCTGTTATACAACTAGATGAATATACTAAAAGCCACTGAATTACACACTTTAAAAGGATGAAAACATGGTACATGAATGTCTTAAAAGAAGCAAACAAAATACCCACAACATCATACACTAAAGAAAGTATCAATAGTAAATCAGAACATGAAAGTAGTGACAACCTTCAAAGACAATCTGCCAAGTTTACCTGAATGATTGCTTTCAAGTTATCTACTCCTTCATCAAGGCCCAACTCCTTCCTGCTTATTTCTGCTTCTTTAGCCTCTTCCTGAGCCTAAAACAGAAACTCATGTGAGACTCCATAGCAACTTAACATATACTAAAAATATACACTCTTTCCCCAAAGCAAATCTATGGTAAGAACCTTTCAATTTGAGGATTATATAGGTAAGGAGGACACAACTGCATAAATATGTCATTCATTAAAAGACAACACTGAGCATGTGCAGTAGATCTTCTGATTCCAATAAACATTTGAGTTTTCCCGTTTTGGTAGCAAGTAGCTTAGAATTCATTAACCACATGGTGATAAGAACGAAAACAAAATGCCAGAGAGCCAGGAAGGGTCATTTAACCAAGGATGCCTTAAAAAATGTTGCCAGGATACAGGCATCTCAAATTCCTCTCCTTTGGAAACCCACTTTTTACTACATGTAATGAGTGGCAGTACCTTGGGATTAACCCTGCTTTAAAATTCCCAAGTAGGATAAACACTAATGAATTCAGTTTTTACCTTTCTTTATCTAGTTTCAAAGCCACCTTCTGCCAAATTTTCCTAGGGCACTGGATTGCAAAATACCACGAGAATACCTTGGGAAAGATAATGGTTTTGTTCGTTCTTTCAACAACACTATAACAGGTTCCAAACCCCAGTAAATTTTCTAATAGCAATGAATGCTATTAATACTAGAAATGGTGATACATTAGGATTTTGTTAGTCCGATAGAAGGACAGAGCTTCCATTGTCTACTTTCAGTCCTTGTATTCAATTTCTTTCTTTTAATACTGCATACCTAACTCCCCAGGCTTGCTGGAGTCTCTCTAAAAACTATGCCATTTGCTTGCCCCCAACTCTCTGGAAGCTTCAAGCTAGTATCTATCCTATTATTGGATACAGTTGTACTCAGTTTCACCAGAGAAAATGATTATCAACTTAAACTGTCAGCATGGGCCTAAACAGATGTAGCCTATGAGCCAAAATGATGATTTTTTTTGTTTAAACTAGGCTCCATGCCCAAAGTGGGGCTTGAACTCACAACCCTGAGATTAAGAGCCACATGCTCTACTGACTGAACCAGTCATGATGCACCCCCAAAAATGATAATCTTGATATACATTCCACTGGGCCTACACACACACACACACACACACACACACACACACACACACACACACACACCAGCTTCCCCCTGTAAGTATATTGAATCAAAACTGCAGAACTACCTCCACCTCCAATTTAGCCATACAAAATAAGAAACCCACCTCAGGTACCCACCAGAGATCTAAATTCTTAGACTGCTCTCCACTGAGCTCCTACTGGGAAAGCCAGGTTATGGTTACTTCAGTCCCAGTCTGGTCTTCCCCACAAGACACAATCGCTTGCTACCTTGAATCCACGCCCTCCCAGAACTCAGCTGTCTATCCTTAAGCTCCTTTTCTCTGCCATCATTCCTACCCTCACCAATTCCACAGTTTAATAAGATACAGAAGCCACAATTCTTGATTCTTCACAAGTGTTCCTCTCAAAGCTTGTTTGGGAAGACACTTTCATCAAAATAAACTAAATCATTTGTTTAAAAAAATGTATGTTCTAGGTCCAATTCAAGAATCAATCTGGACAAAAACAAAAGAAAATCTGTATGCACAAGACAGAGTCAAAAAAAAAGTTTTAGCCACCCTCTCCCTGTCTCTTAACTGAGAACCACTGTCCACCCTTTGTATCTGGACTCCATTACTTTTTGAGCAATGCCATTAAAAAGCTAAAAGAACTGGCCCATATGAAGAATATTTCAGTGCTATCTTAAGATGATATTAATTAAACAATCCACATAGCAAAATCTTCTTGAGCACAACATACTAGGGGAAAAAGTTGCTCTTGATGAACTGGTATGCTCATTTTATTAAGAAAAGAGCTATATAACTATAGAGTTAATCCCTACTCTCATCTCAATAATCTTAAATTTATTTCTATTATTGTAAATACCTTCACATTATTTTTAAAAGCAATCAAGATATAAATAATTAACAGCATTCAAAATCTTACCCTCCTTTTCCTTGCATTCATCTTTTGTTTTGATTCTTTGACAAAGGCATTATAGGAGGGGATCTCGCCAGCATCAATGGCTTCCTGAATAATATTCCTTATCCTGGGTTCTTCTGTGTACTGCACGCACAGCACAGACTCCATGATCTGATCCATGTCGCCCTTGAAATCCAAATAGGCCTGTTTAATATCTGCCAGCTCTTCTTCAGAGCCTTTGTAGGTCTTTTCAAAAGCCTGAATGTCTTCTAGAGATATCTGGACAAACAAGAGATATATACTTTAACTGTGAGAATTTTATTTTATTGAGAATTTTATTTTAAATAAAAAATATACTAGTAAAACTAGATTTAGGTATTGAGATGTTTCTTCCCAAGTACAACAGTGGCTTGAGTTGAATTTGTTGCAAGGAACCACTTTTTTTTTTTTTTTTTTTTTGGAACCACGCTTTCCATGCCAAAGTTTTTCCAGAATTCTCCCCCCAATCTTCACAACTACTAAACTACAGACCAGGAAAAGTTATGTGAAGTTTCCCAGAACAACTCAGGACTTACAGGTAGAGATATGTAAAATGGAGCGCTATCTTTTTTTTGGTAAAGATTTTATTTATTTATTCATGAGAGAGAGAGAGAGACAGGCAGAGAGAGAAGCAGGCTCCATGCAGGGAGCCGGATTGGGACTCCATCCTAGGACTCAAGGATCTCGCCCTGGGCTGAAGGCAGATGCTAAACCGTTGAGCCACCCAGGCGACCCTGGAGCATTATCTTTTAAAATAAAAAACCCTCACCTTTTTCACTACACTTGCTCTACATCAGCAGGAAATTAAATACTCATTTCAGTAAATGTATGTGTGATTTATTCTTTTTCAAATGTGTTATTTCCTGAGAAATACTTGCCCGTGTGTGTATACATATTTATCTGTATTTGAAAATGAAACAAATTCCTCATTCCTACACAACACAAAATGCAATACTTTAAAGCGTTTCAATATATCGTTTGTTTAACGAATGACTGACTGGAATAATCAAAGAAACCTCCAGACTCCTCTACCTTTTTAAAAAGTAACCTCCAATAGGCCTCCCAGTCCCGATCTTGGTTAAGCACATCAGAATCTTCGTCCACTGTTCCCTGCTCATCGTACAGCGCTCTCTGCTCTTTGTCGCTCAAAACAGAATAGACTTTCCCGAGGATCTGCGAGGAAAGAGCATCCAAAAGTCACCCTTGCATCCTTCGCTGAAACCGCGCTGCGAGAAATAAAGATTAGAAAACACCAGGCCAGGAGATCGAGAGAAACCCAGGCAGCCAGCGGAGCCGGGGCTCGCGTACCTGGAAGCGGCGGGTGGCGTCCTCTTTGTCGTCCTCGCTGACCCGGTCCGGGTGCACCCGCAGGGACACTTTGTGGTAGCCCCGTCGGACCTCGCCGTCCGAGGCCTCTCGCCGCACGCCCAACACTCGGTACAGGTCGGCGGTGCCAAACACTTCCTCGCACAGCTCCAGCAACCCCATAGCCGGCAGCCAGGGAGGGCGCCGCAACCTCCGCTAGAACCGCCGACCTCTGCGACACTGGGTAGAGGTTCAGACTGCCTCCTTTTCCCGCGCAAAAAAACAACCCGGAGCAGCTGCGTCACAAGAAGCGCCGGAAGGGCGTGGCCACGACGTCGCACTTTACGGCAGCTGCAAGCGAGGGCATGGCCAGAACTTAACCGAAGGTCCGAGCGGCGGGCGGGGCCTCGCGTGTTGGGTAGCTGAGGAGGAGTCGGGGCCGCTGCACCCTCCTCCCCTTAAGAAATCTGGCGATTATCTTCCCCCCGGTGTCCCAGTGCAGCAGCTCATTCAATAGATGGCATGTCCATATTAAGTCTAAACCATACATTGCCGTTTGCCCTTTTTTAAGTAAAAAAGTTCATAACACCGACATTTGAAGAGCTGACATGGTTCAACGTTGTTCTTTTTCAATGATCCTGACAAGAGCACACAAACTCTAAGACCTACAGCTTGGGACTGCTAGGTAAGTACTCTTCCCTAATTCCTGCAAGAAAAAAGCCTAAACTAAAAGCACAAAATACTAGTCTTTTAAAAATTGTAACATTTATTACAGAATCATTCCCATTCACCTTCCAGTTCCTTATCACCTTCCACTTTGGTTAAGGAAACATGACCAAACCCTCATCTGAGTAAAAATAAAGCTGCTGAAGGTTTTTTTTTTTTTTTTTTTAATGCTTTCTAAAGTGCAGAGCTGGGTTTGAGCATGTTGGATTTGAAACATAAGTAAGCTGATGTAATCAACGAAGATGGTGAGAAACTGTGCCAGGTGATGCAAAGCAAGCATAGAGCTAGAGAAAATTGGAAATCAGGGACAGGATGAGCTCATACAGGGAGTATGTCTATACACATCACAGGGGAAAGACAGACCAGGGCACAAAGTGAATACCGAGTTGGTGGAAACTCGGTAGTCCAAAATACCTTAACCCATTTCCCAGCAGTTCCCATTACTGGTCAGTGCTTTTCATGATCATTCTCTGCTCTAGCAACTAGTTTATCCAAAGATCTTAAACTCTCTAGAGTACATTATTTTTAACTTCCAGAGTGCCCATAGTTTTCATAGCATTCTTCTTTCCCAGATCCAAGATCAAATCCAGGTAGTCAGCTGTTCTTGCCCTGCCTTTGAAGTCCCATCAGTGCAAGGGAGGCCAACCAGTGACAACCTTGGGAGAGACTTGACTCATTATGGTTGGTAACTGTTCTCAGTATATAAAACCCAGAGAATAAAATAAGTTGGTACATTGATAGGGCTTTAGTATCTCCTCTATAAATTTTCTACATCCTAGTCTTATGCCAGAATTTGAAATCTGTATTATCTAGAGTGTGCACAAAAACCCTGTAATCCATGCTTGTGACTGTCCTGCAATTCTGATGAAGCAGATGTGACATTTTGGGCTTAGGCCACAGCCAGTCATGTATGTTACCAAACTCACAACACCTAAACCTCATATCATTGGCTTTTTAAGTGGACTTTTGAAAAGCCCCTCATCTTTATTCACCTCACACCAATCCTGCCCCCGACCATATAATATGTTGGAAAGGCCTCTCCAGGTATGCGTATTGGGGTCTGAATCTTAGCTCTGCCCAAATCAAAATAGATGGCGTTGGGCATGTTTCCACCCCTGAACCTCAATCTCCCATCAATACAAAGGGAGACCATCTTTCCCACTTTCATACCTTATAATCTTCACAAATAATCTTAGTTGTAAAGGGTCAAAAATGTATGTAGGTATTGTTCAATATTACCTTTCTTCTAGTTTCTCATTCTTAAGTATGCTATCATAGCTTATAAGCTCATAAAAAATCTACCCTTGTAAATCTGAGATTGAGTCAAACAAGAAAATGTAAATCTACAATTTCACATACACACACAAAATATTAATAAGCAAAGTAACTATATTCTTGAGCTAGTGGGATGACCAAAAATGATTAAGGAAGAAATTGCAAGGATGGATCATGGACAGGCTGGCTGGAGCTTTCAAACGGGGAAGTCTTAGAAAGCAGCAGACTGTAAAGTTGTCCAAGAGTTCTAAGGCCCAGCTCATCTCCAGCACACCCCAGAGCCACTGTCTCTTCCAGATGAAGGCTGAAAAAGCTAATTAGTACCTAGACCAGCTCTATGTCAGAAAGAACAAATCTCTCCCTGAGTCGTGCTCAAGCCAGGCCAGAAGAGCATGCGTGACTCAGAAAACTCCCATTTATTGACCTCCAAATCTAATAAAACTAAGAGTTCTGCACAGGTGTTTTAAGAGGGCTTTGACCTTTCTCCCAATGTTCTCTGCTCACTGAAGTCAGCTTGTTTTTGTTTCTGTAGCCTCTGTATCTGTTTTCTGAGATGCTAAGAGGACTTCACGTGCCCGTTTCCTTCGCAGCCTCTCAGCATTTGTGATCATCATGGGATGCAGAGGGAAAAAGCCAGAAAGACCTAAAAGCAACAGGATTTTCATTCATTATAACATGGTATAAGCAGGGTTTCCCTGGGAGCTTAGCCTTACAGAGCCGAGGTCTAACAGAGACCTGACCTGCGGCATGGATTTAAAACATGCTCCTCTCTTGCCAAACTGTCTTATCTCTTCCCCCAGTCCTTCCCCTCCATTTACTACAAGGAGACAATGGATGTTACTTCCTATTGTCCTGAATTGAAAAAAAAAAAAAAAAAAAGACAGATATTCATTCAAGAAAAACTATTACTATTTTCAATACAAAATCCCATTCACCGAAGTCTCCTAAAACAGCCCACAAAAGAGGTCTCCAGTCAAAATGATAATTAGATCACAACTCCGGTTTTCACTCTAGCCCTGAGCAGCCTGAGGTAACGAAAGTCACTCTTAACTCTTATTCCGAAACGGACTTCAATTTAAAATCCCCTCAATGAAGCAAATCTAGAGCTGAGTTACCCAGAAGCCTCTCCACAGGCTTAGAGAGGTGGGCCCCACAGCCAATCCAATGCCGGATCCGCTCTAGGTTGAGAGCAACGATTTTCTCCCCGTGACTGTTGGGCAGGGGATCATAGGAGCCCAGCTGCTCCACGAAACGGCCATCCCGGGGGCACTTGTTGTGAGCAGCCACAATGCGGTAGAAAGGCCGGTTGGTACAGCCGCTCAGGGCAAGGCGGATGGTTAAGTGGCCCCCGTGGTAGGCCTTGCGCAGGACAGGAGCTGCAGAGAGAGAAGTCGTTAGGACACAGGAACCGAGAACATAAGAGGAACAAAATGAGGCAGATAAAATAAGCCCCTTCCTCGACTGGAGCATCCTTACATCCACCCATTATTGTCGACCCGGCTTGGCTACTACGTCCTGGTGAAGCTCCTCCCATGCACTGCAGCCAGAGGGACCGCCTCAAGCCGCTCCACACCAGCCGGCCGTGTAACAGAGACCACGGCGGCGCCTCAGCTGCCTCACCTGCCAACTGAATGCCACTTACAGACTTTCGGGAAGGATTCAGTGAGAAAAACCTAAGGCGACGGACAGACATAAGGCAGTGCGGCCGTTGCAGGTTCGGGTTGCCTCCAGCTCGCCTAGGAGAGCGGCTTCATCGGCTCCCCTGCTCCCGGCCCCCGCGACCGCCCGGAAGGTCACTCACTGAGCTGGACCATGGTGCAGCCGGCGGGCGCCGACGCCCGTGCGCCCCTTGCCGCGCCTCCGAGCGCGCTGCCGCCCGTCGGGCGGGGCGGAGGACCAACGCGGAGACGGCCACACCGCGACAACCCGAACCTCAGCCCCTTGCGGCCCCAGCCCTAGAGCCTCGGAGCGGGAGGCGCAGGATCCACTTGCCCCGCCCCTTCCGCTTTCCCGCCCCTATATTTCCCATAATGCAACGCCGTGAACCCTAACGAACCGAAACTGCCGCAAAAAAGTCGCGCTGTAACCTGCGTGTCGCTGGGGTGGAAGCGTGAACAAACCTGTGTGGGCGCTGTCGGCCTTCGCTAGACTCTGGGTTCCTGGCGGAGCGAGCGGTATCGGGAGGATCCCGGGGAGCGGCCCGAAGGGCTAAAGTGCTCCACAAATCCATCCTCCAGCGCACGTGTTCCGCGCACCTGGCTAGAGCCATAGCTCCGAACGCCAGGCTGAGGGGGCGCGGTTCCCGCCGGTTGGAAGCCCTCGGTCACGTGGGGAGGCGCTGCGATGACACCAGAGGCCGTAAAGGTGGTCAGTACTCAGTCCTGGGGCAGGAGACGGGGCGGCAGCCTGAAGCCTCCTTGGTGCTTCCGGAAGGCCTCTTAAAGGAAGCGGCGTTAGAGCCAAGTCCGTTACGAGGACTGTAAATGATTGGAAGGTTTATTTTATTCTTCTGTATTTAAAATGCCTCTCACTTGGTCTCCCAGGTCTCCGTCATATTATCTGCACCGTCTTTAAAAAATTAAGGGGGATCCCTGGGTGGCGCAGCGGTTTGGCGCCTGCCTTTGGCCCAGGGCGCGATCCTGGAGACCCGGGATCGAATCCCACGTCGGGCTCCCGGTGCATGGAGCCTGCTTCTCCCTCTGCCTGTGTCTCTGCGCCTCTCTCTCTCTCTCTCTGTGTGTGACTATCATAAATGAATTAAAAAATTAAAAAAAATTTTAAAAAAATAAAATAAAAAATTAAGGAGGAGGAGTCTTTATTTCTGGTTTTGCTCTGCAGTCATCCAGGGGGATAGTTCCTTTGTCATTAGCCCTAGAATACTGGCCTCATTTGAGGTTTGCATCTATTATAAGTTAATGGACTCTTCTTGGAGCCCTTGTGATTTAGATCCGCGAAGGTAACCGTGGTGAGAGGTAGTCCGTACCTCCATCCTCAACAAAGACTTCTGTCCAGCTCTTTTCAACATTGGGTCCAGAGTTTGGCCACCACTAATGTGTTTTAATACAGTGATCCAGCATAGCACTCTCCTTTGGAACCACCTAGAAATTGATGCCTTAATTCTCAAGTTCCAAGAAGTGAACCTAGCAAGAGACCTTAGTAGTTGACTTACAGGAGTGATCCTGATAGGCTTTTACCAGAAACCCTAATAATGAACCCACTTTACCTTAACTATGTAAATAAATACATTCTTACATATAGCTCAGTAGACCTTAATTAACTGCAGAACCACACTGGTGAATTTTGAATCTTTTTATTGTCATCCAGTTAGTGTCAACCTGTAAAATATCCAGTAACAGCCATTCAATAAGACAGCCAACGGAAGTAAATGAATGGGTTTCTGCTTACAGTATTTTCCATCCCCAACCCTTATTTTTCACGACGTCCAGAGTTTAATTTCTGTGGGAAGGAAAGGAGCTCCGAGTCCCATACAGAACATTCTTCAGCTGGAAGGAGGTCAAAAAGATGGATTTCCAAAGCCAACTGTCTCCTGTACCATGTGGATCTCTGCAAGCAGAGTCTCATCTTTTAGTTTCAGCTGCATGAGAAGGAAGGAGAGGATACATACCATACGTGATATATCTATGTGTAGACCTATCATTTACTGGACCATAGTTAAAGAATATAGTTCCTTGGCATGAGATTGGGCTCTTCCTATATGCCCTTTTTCATGATAACTCCATTAAAAGAACCTCAGAACTCAGGGCTGATTGATTACATGGACATGTTCACTTTATGAAAATGCAAGTTGTATGAACATTCGCAGTTTATGTATTTTTTTGTTAAATAATTTTAATAAAGTATTTTTAAATTGTTCTCATCACCCAGTCTATTTTGACTACAATATTATAATTTGGCAAGTCATCGGAATCAAAGATACTAGATCTGAATTTAATTTTAGACTCTAAATGTGTAGTAGCAATATCTAGTTGCCTTGTGAATACCCACTCTCTTCTTTCTTACTAACAAAATCATTTTTTTCAGGGCAGGAATGCAGCCCTCTAAACTCCATTTTCTTCTTTTAGAGCTAGAGGTAGTCTTACAACCAATTGTGGCCAATTTTTTTTTAAAGATTTTATGTATTCATGATAAACATAGAGAAAGAGGCAGAGACACAGGCAGAGGGAGAAGCAAGCTCCATGCCAGGAACCCAACGCGGGAATCGATCCCGGGACTCCAGGATCACACCCCAGGCCAAAGGCAGGCACTGAACCTCTGAGCCACCCAGGGATCCCCAATTGTGGCCAATTAAATGTAAACTAAAGTAATTGCTTTTTTTTTTTTTTTTCAAAAGTAGATTCTTTTCTCTGAAAATGATTTTCTTTACATGTGAATTAAACATCCTTTTTTATATGAGTATAGTTGACACACCATGTTTCAGGTACACAACATACGATTCTGAAGTCTATACATTATGCTATGTTCACAAGTATAGCTACCGTCTGTCACCACACAACACTATTACAATACATTACAATACCATTGACCATATTCCCTATGCTGTATCTTTTATTCCTGTAAAGTCATTGCTTCCTAAAGGGAGGTGAAATAGCTAGTAGCATATCCTCTTTGTTCTTGCCTCCCTTTTGTTCTTTATTGTGCTTGAAACATGTATATGGTGGCTTAAGCTACAATGGCTGTCTTGCAACTATGAAGGATGGGGACAGCATGCTATGACTGGTGGAGCAGAAAGCTATAGAGTTTGGGTCTCCTGGTGACATTGTGGAGCTCTGGTACCAGCCCTGGGCTTTTCAGTAGATGAGAAAAATAAAATTCCTAATTTGTTTAAGCCACCAATTGTAAACTGTGATTCATAATAGAATAGACGTTCTGCCGGGGATTGGCAGATTACTACTTATGAGCCAAATCTAGCTTGCTGTTTTTGTTAAGTAAACTTGTTTGAAATACAGTCATGCTCATTTGTTTATGTGTTGTCTGTGGTTCCCTTTGGACTACAAGGACAGAGGGTAGTAGATGCAATAGAGACAGTTTAGCCCACAAAGCCTAAAATATTATTTTGCCCTTTATACAAAGTTTGCTGACCAGTACTTTCAGTCTGGTGAATGAGGCTGAAAGAAGAAACATGAGGCTGAAATGAAGATGAAATGAGGCTGAAAGAAGATAACAGAGTAAAGTTAGTGGCAAAACTAGGACCATAATTCAGGCTTACTGCCTCCCTTGCTATTTATCTTTCCATTAAACCAAATTCTCTAAAGAGGTAGAAAAAAGATCCCCCATAGTAATATATGGGTTATTCCAAACCCACCAGCTGTATAATAATGGCAAAGATGAGAAGAAAAGCCTCTAGAGGGGATCCCTGGGTGGCGCAGCGGTTTAGCGCCTGCCTTTGGCCCAGGGCGCGATCCTGGAGACCCGGGATCGAATCCCACATCGGGCTCCTGGTGCATGGAGCCTGCTTCTCCCTCTGCCTGTGTCTCTGCCTCTCTCTCTGTGTGTGTGTGTGTGTGTGTGTGTGACTGTATCATAAATAAATCTAAAAAATTTAAAAAAAAAGCCTCTGGAAAATATTCACATCCTGAAATGCTGTAAAGTCCTGAACTAAGCCAGCATCTTCCTCCTAGTTTTCCAACCTTCATACAGTACAAACTTCAGGGGCATCTGTATCATACCTTCATTGTGTACTTATAGGCCTGCTCAGCTTCCAGTTGCCGTCCAGCCTGAAAAAAAAGAACAGCAGCTCATGATTTATTATAAACACTATGGTGGGAAAGGACGTTGCCACAAACATTTCTACCAAAACAGGATTCCATACCTTCTTAATAATCTTTTCCATTATATATATATATATAATATATATATTATATATATATATATATATATTCATTTCAAAAAGTTTAAAGAGGGGCAACTAGGTAGCTCAGTCAGTTGAGCGTCTGACTCGAGCTTAGGTCTTGATCTTAGGGTTGTGAGTTTAAGCCCTGCACTGGGCTCCAAATTGGGTGTGGAGCCTACATTAAAAAATAATAATACAATAAAAAAAACAATAAAATTTTAAAAATGAAAACAAGCTTAAAGAGAACTTGGTCTCTCATCTCCCCCTGTCCCCAAAAGCCTCATGAATCACTTGTCTCTCTCAGGATTGAAGCCATTCTGTTCATAATAGCTAAAATATATATAATGCTTACTTTGTGGTTTACTTTGTTTTAGGTGCTTACATTGTTTTAAGTCCTTTACATACTTTCATTCCTAATCCTCAAAACAACTCTAGGAGAAAAAATTTATAATTCTGTGTTTACAGATGGAAATACGTAGGCACAGAGAGGTTAAGTAACTTCCCAGAGTTATGAAGCTAATAAGTGGAGGAGCTACGTTTAAACAAAAACAGCCTGGTTCCAGAGTCCAAGTTTTTAACTATATTATGTTTTATCCTGCCTTTATACATTAGAAAAAGCAGAGACGAATTCCTTCCACATTGATCTGGATATAGGATGAGGACACTAAATATTGCTCCCAGTTATTCTTTGCATGAAGCGCTCATCTAGGAGTTAAATGAGAAAAATATGAATTCACTATTATACTTAACAAGTTTGTGCTTACCAAGTTCGCGTATGCAGTGTCACTTGGGAATACATAAATATGAACTACATGCATAACAGAATATTGAACAAATATGAAAAGTATAGAATGTTCAGGCTAGAAAGAAAGTTAGTGAATATCTAGTTTAATTTCCTGATCAGTGCTAGTTCATGGAAAATTTTTACTAGTTCACAAAACTTTCATTATTTAAAAGACCTTCCTATAATATCCACACTTCAAAGATTTTCTCACCTGAAGTTCATGGAATTTCAGTTCATTTTCTAGCACATCTTCCTTTCCTGTACTATTATCTTTGTTTCACTTCTGCCACAGGAAGGCAGAAATCCAAATGACGTGAGAATCCAGAACAGCCAAAACAATTTTGAAAAGACTT